AAAGTGTGGATTTTATTTCTGCCTCGTAATTGCCATTACAAATAATTTCTACTGTTCCAACTGAAATGGGGTTTTCAACATGGTACCCGAAATTGCATGGCATTTCCAGGTGTGCGTGCTTATGTACTTCTCAGGGCCACATATGTGCTGGCTTACCTAGGGAAAGCCTCCTTATGTCCTGCTTTTTTTTAAAAAGCAGTGTCGCAGACTTCTTCAAGAGTTTATTACTCTGAATAAAAGGTAAAAAAAAAATTTCTCATTTCAGAATATGTACTTTTTCTGCCATCAGCAACATTTTAGTGCTGTTTCTAGATCTTTACAAGATATTTTGATTCAAAAGTTATATTTTATTCTTATTTTGCAAACTTTCTTGCAAGCCATTTACAAGTCCAATAGATAAAATAACTTTCCGTCAGCAATACTGAAAATGAAGGAGAGTTTTTCTCTTGCTGAAATGAAGCAGGGTGTAGCTCATCCAAACTCTTCTGATTCTCCTATTAATCTCAGCAACCTATTTCTATCCCAACAGGTGTAGTTCGCCAGGTGAGGCCCATTGTTGGACCTTTCCATGCCATCCTGAAACTGGAGATGAACTACGTCATGGGTGGAGTGGTATCTCATCGTAACATTGTCAATGTTCACATCTTTGTCTCCGAGTACTGGTTCTGAGAGAGTGTTTAAAATCCCAGACAAGCAAGCCACTCCAACCTAAATCATTACCACAAACTATTATGTCATATACTTGTTTGTAAAACCAATAGTGTTTTTTGTTTTATTTTTAAATATTTGGTTTATAGTTTAAGACAAATAACAAGCTATTATGTTGATTAGACATAGGGTGGAGCAAATGAAGTGAGCCTGATGTAGTAGTTGTCTGTATAAATAAGTAGTGTGTAAAAGTGCTCAGCTGCCTAGTGAAATTTAAAACTTTTCTAAATGTTTAGGCAGATCTTAACTATTGCTCCTTGGCCAGATAACCAGAGCGACTGAGGATGTAGAACAAAATAGATGTCAGAATTCATTGGGATGAACATATGGTATCTTCGGATGGAAGAAGTTTGGTAAGGATTCGTGATTTCATCTCAATATTAACTACCTTGAAGGAGTCAGATTGTCAGAAAGTGCTAAATATTTGCTTTTGGGCCCCAGTAGGGTAACTCTGAATAGGCATCCAGAATTGCTAATCCTTTCTGAAAAGTTTAGCTTAGATATTTAAAAAGCACCATTTGGCTACGGCTACAAGAGGAAGTGCAAAAGGAATTAGAAATAGTAAGAGACTAACAAGCTATTGCACATATTAAAAAAATACTCCTTCTTTGTACTTATTATTTGATTGTAAGATTATGTTTGATTCTAATTAAACAAATACCTCTCACTGAAATTAACCTCTTACAAGGATAAGGCATACTGTTTAAATTCCAGTCTCATCTATACTCAGCGATACATGGAAACTCAGACCTTTATCTCCTGTCTGTTATAGAGTAAAGCTCCATACTTTTTTTAAATTGGTAATAAAATCAGCATGTTAAACTGTACACTTCCTATGCACCAAACCAAGGCATATGTAATAATATAATGAAACTCTCACAAATAAATAAATGAATGTTTAATGTATTTTATAGGCATCAAAGTAACGTATCTTTTTTATTACAGAACAGAAAATAAATAGCTCCATGTTTTAGTTTGTTATGTTTGTTAAGATATGAGGAAATAAAGTCAGTCAGATGGGAAATACTCAGACACATGCTATGTTTTCTACTTACCAAAAAAATCATATAATATACAAAAATTAATTTGCTCCTGTGAGCAAATTAATTATATGTAGATATTACACATTCCCTGCTCAAAACAGTCGCTATTTCATCGGTCATTATTGGCACTAGGCATTTGTCTCTTCCATTTATACAAAAGCCCCTGAAGCTTAAGGGAATCTTTCCATTGACCTGAATGATCTTCGAATAAGACTAATAAAGACCATCCTCTCTGATCCATTGCAAATAAAAGATCATAGCAACTTCACTGGGTACATACAGAAGTCTTCATTACATTCTCTGTGGCAGGGAAGCTTCTCTGCCTGCAGCATTCTCACTGCTTAAGATTTTATGATAACATATTCTTATAAATAGTATTTGACTAAAGAATACCATCTTGGCAGTATTTGTCACACTTACATAGCATCCCAACCCCATACATAGCCTGGTTTTCAGGATTCCATCCGCTTAAAACATATTCAGTGTTGTTAGGTTGCTAGTGGCCACCTCTATAGTCCTGATTTCAATAAATAGTTACATATTTGCGTGGAAAAATGCCATGAAGCAGATATATTTATAGCAGGTGACCTTCATCATTCAACTAACTAATGGAGACTTTGGAAAACTCCGAAGTACAAGAGATACTGTTGACTGCAGGGATTACCAGCCTACGTAATTCCAATTTAGATTGGAAAGTAAAACGTTTTGTTATCCTAACAGAGTCCGAGAAAAGGAGGCTGGAAGACTCTCCTTAAATTGTCAAGTTCTTTTTCTTGCCCGTGTGGGAAAAGAAAGTAGCCTTAGTACCAAAAATACAAAGACTGTTTCCATCTGATTTTCTAGACTGTAATTTTTGATCCTTTATTTCCTCTGTAAGTGGTATTTAGTTGCAGTGGAAAGAACTTTGGGACAGCAGAAATCTAATTTTAGGATCGAACTGATGAACAAACTAATTTACAGACTTCTTTCTGTAGAGGAGAAACCACACACACACACACACACGTGCGCGTGCACACACACCTCTCCCCTTCTTTCTGCATTTTTGAGTAAAAATAGAATAGAAGAAAGATTACCACTACTTCCTGGAAAACTGTTTTCCTACGTTGTCCCAAATAATCTTTGAAAATTGCAAGCAGCTTTTTAAATAGTCCTAATGTCATATGACAACATTGATCCAGTAGATGATTTTATGTTTTGTGTGTAATAAAATTACAGAGTGCTTAGTGCCATGGTCACTGTGATGTGTCTTAACTTTTAATAGATCAGCATAGAAAAAACAGATAATTCAATAATGATAGGAAAGATTAAATATTTCTCTCATCCAAACTTGTGACAATAAAGTTTAATTTGTTGTGAATAGGACAAAGTTAAAATACTTGCAATTTTTATTAGCAAATCATTAAAGCTGTTCAAGTGGGAGAACGTGCTTCTGTTCCAGTGGGGTTATGAAATTGTCCCTGAGATCCACTGACTTCGAGGGCTTTTCCTTTGCTGTGCTCTCTTTGGATTGATTAGATCTAAGTTCAAATCGTTCCAATTGAGGGGAAACAGAATCACAAGTAAATTAGCATTTAGAAGAAAACGACAAGAACAAGTGTTCATTAGTCTGCTTTTTAGGAGTCATCTGCTCAGTCATACACAGAATGATACCACGTGCCTTGGAAAAACAATCACACGCTAATAAAAGAATGAGTAGTAATAACACACAATTACAGATACTACACAGGATCGAATTACCTTATAAACTGTCTTATTTGACACTAGATGAGTATGGAGGGACAAAAATCACTCGAATGAGCAAAGGCTCCCAGGTGCTAGCCAGATTCCCGATGGGAGGAGCAGTAGGTGTCAGGTTGTTCTGCCAAAAGTCAGGCGTCCTGCATACATGGGAAGACTTCTCGTGTGCTACAGGGAATGCTTCTAGGACAAGTCTTACGGCAGGAAAAATTGCCTCAGAGGTATTTCTGGTTTGCCTGAGAAAGCATTCAGTGTATGTAGATGGTTCTGAGCAACCGAGGCCATAGCCTTAGTCAAATAAAATAAGAACGAACCAGGAAGATTTCAGATCAGTTTGCTGATAGGCTGATCTGCTTACTTGTATTTCAGCTTAAAAATCACTTCCTGATGGATCTGTAATTTATTAGCGGATAGAGAAGGCAAAGAGCATATATAATCCTGGCATGGTTACTCCTTTTGCAGAGGGAGGGCACGACAGCCAGGGACAACAGCAATGAGGAACAAACAAGTTTCACAGCAGCGTTCAAATCAGCACATTCCACATATGACAGCTGGATAAGCTTGTGCAGGGATGACAAAAGTTATTTCATGATTTGGAGAGAAATACCATGTGCCTTTCCAGGGTAGCTATCCTACCTGTATACACCGTATGGTAACTCTTGGAAGCCACTGGTGACTGTAACGCTCCAACACGGCAAATTGCTTGTCAGCGCTGTGAATGCCTCCATTATTTGGAGCTCAGGCAGCATTAATGTGTTCCTGCCTCAACCACAAAAATCACACTATGCCTGAATTTTGCCCGTGAAAAATATCGCAGCATCCACTTTGCCCATCCAGTTGGTGACAGCTTCAGTGCCCGAACACGTGCAATCCATCAGTGCTGCGAGCATGGCCCTGGTGAAACCTCCTGCCTCCTGCACTGCAGGGTGGAGCAAAACACTGACTTTTGGAGCAGGGTGAGTTACACCAGTGTCACCAACACGTGACAAACTGCACTTTTTATGGCAGCAGGTTCAGTACAGTTGTGTTCTCACATCCATGCCGGTATAAAGGAATTAAAAGAGAGATGGCTTCCCAATTAAATATAGTAACTCTTTGTAATGATCTGTAGTTCAATTAGCAAGTGTATGTGATGACAGCCCATATTTCAAGCCAGCTAAAAACATGCTTGCTGGTACCTGAAGTGAATGCAATTCTTATTTAATATCTAATTCTGAAGAGTGGCACAAAGCCACCAATTCAACACTGGCTGCCTTATATCAGCTGGTTTGCAGGTACCCCTGTGAAGGCAACTCTTTTCAGGAGCAGGTGTCAGAAGATGTTTAAATATGCTATTTGTTCCCCTGAGCACAGAGAATATGCACTGCTCACCAGTGAATGCTACCTTCACTTTTTAAATGAGTATTTGTATTTTTGGTCTGCTTGTGAAAATGTTACTGATGTAGAAAATGGGTGCCAGCTGTGGCACGAGAAAAAAGAGCATGAGCTCTTAGAAACATTGGCTGTGAATGATAGCCTCTAGCAATCCTCTTGTGATGTTTCAGCAGCTTGGATTTAGTATTTCATAAAAGGCTTTTACAGGGATGCTGACACACAACTCTTCGGTATTCTGTGGTGGTGTTAATCCATATTGCACAGAAAATTGTCTGTATGTACGTATTATGTGTAGCTTGGTAGGTAGGCTCTTTACAACAAGAAATCCTGATGCCTGAGGAGCAATTCACACCTGCTGGGATGGAGATGTTCATGCCATGACCATATTGCCTTTTATCTTACCCAGCTGAGCTTGGCAGCTCGTCTCCCAAGTCTCTCGCTCTTGACACTAGCAAGATCACTAATGCAACTGGACAAGAAACCTACCCCAGGGATGCTGTCTGTGGGTTGGGCTTTCCCAGGCAGGTAGTCCTTCATGGAAGTTAGAGGATTAGTTCCCTTCGCAATCAGTCATGGTACCTCCAGGGCCATTTTACCATCATGTAAATTCCAAACTTCTCATGAAATTGCAGCAAAGCATACCCTGTGTCCTGTCTGGAGTAATTGCTATTAACAGAAGAGCCAGGGGGAGCTCACTCTGAGTTTTTTATGTTCAATTCCAGGTTTAGAGGCAGTTGTGTAAAAATTTATTTCATCACAAGTAAGAGTGACGCATTTATTACTGTCCCTATTCAATATGCTGTCAGGTGATACCCTTTTTGAACAAGACAATAATCTTAGTTGACAGCTTAATGCATTTATTGGCCATCTGAATCCAAGACATTAAAACCTGGCCTGGAAAACCCAATATTGCTGCTGCTGGAAGTGCCGAGGCCAAGCCCAGGTCGTAGGGAGGACTGGTGACGGTTGGCCACGGCTGACGTAGTTAGGCACAGCACACGTGCAGCATAGCTCATGCAAATAAATCTGATGCTAATGGAGAAATTGAAGAGCAAGGAACGTATGTGGAGAAAGTTATGAGAGACCAGGCAAGTCAGAACAACCCCATTTACAGGTTGTTGAGACAAGAGCGACTTGCACAGTGACAATCGATAGTTTACAAATACCCTGTGAATGACCAGTGAATAGCACTACAAGGATTTTGAGAGAGGAACATCAGCTCCTTTAGCTTACTTCCGCATGAAGTCCAAAACCAGTTGTCCCGTGGGGGTGTCCCTTCCATTTGCTACGCTAGGCATCATGCGGCATGAGTTGCCGCGGCGTTTGAGAGCCCACACACAGGTGGGCAATGCACACTCATTTCGGTGGCCAGACGCACCGTGTCGAGCTCCCCGTGGGCCCTGCACCCCTGGACAGCCAGGCTCCCTGGAGGCTGCCTGGTGGGAAGTCCCAGGGCTCACAGCTCACCGCCTGCAGCAACCTGTCCGTGTGCCGGGGCTCAGGGTGTTGCCTTGCTCTACGTGTCAGATGAGCACGGATTCTTCCACGTCCCCTCTGGTAGTAATTCCCCTTACGTCATGTCATCGTGACTCACCTCAGAGAGCTTTTGTGAATGCAAAATACTGCTTGCTCTTCCTCTACAGAAATGGCTGAACGACTGAGGGATGTTGTCTTGATTGCAGTAAGTGCGTGCCTTGTGTGTACTTTGTCTAAATGATACTGTAAAGTGTTTGGAAAATGATCTTGTCTTCTGTATATGATCCGTGTGCTGTATCAAATCAGTACAAAAGTAAAAGTTAATGTAGAAAATTCCTTGGTTTTTCCCCCACCACTCCTT